ACAGAAAGAGAGACCCCCCCCACACACACAGGTATATTTATTTAATGCACTAGCAGACCACTATAGTCAAAAAAACGCATTTTTTTCATTTGATACCACGAGAAAGTGTGTCTCAACTTTTTTATTCCTTTTCTACATTTATTAGGACATTGTTATAAATTGCGATACAATTTGAGAGGTAGTATTTTACAGAGGCTTTATTTATTTATGTATTTATTCCTTCCCTTGTGTGTGAGATTACATCGTCATCCACATTTTATGAATAACTATGACATTGTATTTCACAAGAAATTATACATGATGGTCATGAATCTTTTTTTTTAATGTCGACTTTGCATTGTATTCAATAGAATGCAATTAGACGGATCCAAACCTACATCACAGCACACAGTTCCTATCATTTGACCCATCCGATTGCAATGTGTGTATAATTGTGCCGTCACCGTAAATACAGAGGTATTCAATTTGCAAGGGGGTTGCCAAAGTAATGTAAGTTGTTTCCGAATGGATGGCTCGACTTTACGAACGGCAAAAGGAGAGATGGAATCCTTTGAATGCAGTTTTATTGAAAGAGGGAAAAAAGACGCCTGCCCCGAAGCACGTTCGAGAACACAACAACTTTTTCCGGCTACTAAAACACGTCCTGTTTCCTTCAGCCAATCAGACTCTCTCAATATAAACATGATTAAGAAATTAACTCACTCAACTGTATTTATAGAGCACTTTCAGACAGCCATCGCTGCATACAAAGTGCTGTACATGGAGCAACTAACATATACATTTACAACAGTAAAGCAACAAATCGGTAACAATTAAGGAGAATATAATTTAGGTAACTTTAACATCAAAGACAATACTGTAATGTTCAAACGTAAAATGATAATAATTAACAATTTAAGAAAAGCTTACAGTAGGTATACGGTCGTTTCATATCGTTGAAATTCGAGACCTATATGATGAAAGTATTTTCCCCTCGTTTTTCTAAACTTGTAACATAATACAAATAAACCTATTGGACGTATTTTCTTTTGTTTACAACTTTTGCACCCGCGTGTATCTGTAGCTACGTTATATCAAACGGGAGGTGGGGGGCGGGGCGAATTCTACTCATTGTTTCATGGTTTTGAACTCCAATGATTGTGTAGCAAGTCCGCCTATCGAGGGTTTCCTCGATTTACGACGGTCTCCACATAAGTCTATCTGTGTGTGTGTGTGTGTGTGTGTGTGTGTGTGTGTGCGTGTGTTCAGGGCGAGGATTCCCGTTCGGCCCATATTTGGATTTCCGGCTGCGGGGCCACCGAGGCGTCACGACTTCGCCTCCAAATGAAAGCCAATCAGAGATGAGGCGGACGTGACGTCACGGAGCCGGCGAAGTGGCCTTTCCGAATCTTAACGGAAGAAGGCGGACGTGACAAACTGTCGGCGCCCGAGTACGTTTCGCTTTTCCAGTCAAACGTTTGCACTTCCGAAGTTGCCCACACTTGGATCGTGCGTGTTTGTGTGTTAGGTGGAGGGTGGGACGCTTCCTCTCCAACCTCAATTTTCCCGACGCCCCCCCTTTCCCCCTCCTCGCCCCATTCCTCATTCAACACCTTGACTGGCTTTCTTAGCCCCCTCTCGGCTTCCATAGTGCCGCCAGGCTCTGCTCCCCCGAACTGCACTTCCGCATCATGCCGGACACACACCTGACGGCCGTTTCGTTTGCCTGCCAGGTGCTTCCACTCTGAGAGCTTCCTTGGGTATTGTCGATTTAAAACAAACAAACAAACAAACAAAATATCTATATACAGTATATATATCTCCATATTTCTTTATTTGTGATTTCCCCGTGGGGGAGAGGAGCGGAGGCCATGCCCCCCGCGCCCTTCCAAGAGGAGGAGGAAGAGAAGAAGAAGTAGAAGAAGGCGAGAAGAGAGGACGCGAGGAGGGAGCCGCGCATGATGTTCGATGAGGCCGCGATGGGCGACGGGAGCCCCCGCCGCGGCGGAGCCAAGCCGCTGTGCCGCTCGCCGCTGGACGGCTCGTCCGACGCCCCCGGCACGTCGTCGTCCCCGCCCGACGACGCCCACGACAAACTTTTGGGAGGGGACCCCGACTACTGCCGGCGGATCCTGGTCAGGGGTGAGTGCGCCTTCCCGTCGGCGAACTTTAAAACGTGTTTTCGTCGCTCGCGTCCAATTCTTTCCTTTTGACTCGGTCCCCTGCGTATATTTTTTATAACACTCGAGGAGGACGCGCACAAATGAAAGTGGGGTGGGGGCGGCCGGTGGTCTTTGTGTGACGGCGAGATGTTACACTTGCACGACGATTGGCTTCAAAATCACCCACGAACTTGAATGGGGTGTTCAGAAAAACGTCTTGTTTGTTTGGTTGTTTTGTTTTTTTTTTGACGATCAGTTTTGAACTATTTTCAGGATGTACGGTGATTTTAATATTCGGTTGCCCGGGCTTCCCTAAACGAGAGGCCACCAGACAGCGCAAAAGAATAACAATCAGGATGATAATAATGATGATAATAATAATAATAAGAATAATAATAATAACGGTATTAATAAAATACATTATTTAAACGTGGTTACAAAACAAAACGATTTGGGTGGAAAAAAAAAAAGAACCGAGCCGCTACTTGGGTCTTTTTTTTTGTGTGTGTGTGTGTGTGTGTGTGTGTGTGTGTGTGTCCAAAACAACCAGAAAGTTGGTGTGATTTTGCACCCAAATGAAACGGGCTGATTTTGGACGCCGCGGTTCAGCTCAATGTGCAATTAGCTCCGCGTACTCGTGCATCTCTGATTTAAAAAAAAAAAAGAGAAAATCCTAAAGGCGTCTGTCTACGAGAAATGTCAGCGACAATGAAAATGTGCGTTGAACGTCCAACGTTTGTTTGAGCGGCCCGTCAAAAGCGCCTCGCGTTCTCGTTTCCAATAAAACGAAGGGCAAACGTTTCCGAGGCAAACGCTCGTTTTGCGGCGTGACAGGCGAAAATAGCCACCGTGTCAAATTTGGAGGAAAAGGAAACGTCGACAACGTTTTTGGTGTGCTTTCGCTCCGCTCTGTTGCGTTCCGCGGATTTGTTCCTTGCTTTCTTTTTCTTCTCGCTAAGGCCCGGGGTCACCGAGAGTTCAGCGCACTCGCTTTCGTTGTTGTTGTTGTTGCTATTTTTTCTTTTTCCTCCCGCGAGCTCGGACGTGCGCAGAAAAAATGACATCGAAAAGAACTGCGCGTCACTTCATTTGGATTTTTTTTTTTTTTGCCTTTCAAGCAAGCAAGCGGGTTGAGATTTTTGGTGGTTGTTTTCCCGTCCTCTTTTTTTTTTTGTGTGTGTTTAGTGGCCGGCCGGCGGGCCGGACGTCGCGCGCTGGTTATCGCCTCATTTCAGCGCTTTGCTCGCCTCATGTTTAATGGAGGCGCGGCTGTTGATTTTCCTTCCATATTTGATGACTTGAAAGCAGCCGCGCGTGTGGACAAAGGCCGACAAAGAGCACCTCCGCCTGACCGACGGCGACAAACGCGAAGACGTTCGTGCTAGCCGGGGGCCGCACGTGATCCCTTTGCCTTGTCGAGAACCAAAACGTCGGCGCGCGGAGATGTGGAATCTTTGATCGCTTTCCGAACGTCTACTCACCAAATAAGCGAGAAGCGAACGCGAACGTTTCGCACGAGGAGGATGCTGAACAGCGTGACGAGCGACAACATTCAGGCTACAGATCGGAATGTCAACTGCTGCTGATGACGATTCGAATAATCATGAGAATGATGATCTTGATCAAAAATTAGGAGGATTACAATACTATGTCCATATCTATCTTTATAGCTATCTATCTACCTATATATGTATGTCTATAAAAATATAGATAAATATAGATTTGTGGATATACACACACACACACACACACACACACACACACAAAAAAAAGAAAACTAGCACACCATGAAATTTGTGCTTCATAAAAATACAGTTATGACACT